GTAATCAGCTTTTATAATAACATCTTGGCTGTCATAATTGATCTTAAATGGATTAATGGAGTGTAATAAAAAATATATAGTACAATTTTAGCTAAATTTGATGTTAGAATTTGAGTTGGTTTTTCTCTGGTGGGTATCTTGGCTGTGGGACTCATATTTATTAGAATCTAGGACTCTCCTGATAACGATTTCTAACTTTCCAACACCTTCTTACATCTTCATCTTCTTACGAAAGTCACTGGTTCTCAACTCAGGAAATAAGTTCTTCCTAGGGAGGTTTTGGGAATATGAGAAACATTTTTGGTTGCCCCTGTGGCTGGAGGACACTGCTTGATTACATGTGACTGGGGACAGTTGTGCCACAAGTCTGGCACTGCAACAAATGACCACTTCTTCAAGGTCACTGGACCCCTGTTGAGAAACACTGAGCTAGGTGAATTTAAGTATTTCCATTTTATAGCTGGGAAATAAGAAAACTTAGAGAAATTTGACCCTCTGGGTCCAAAATTGGGAAAATAAGACTGGAAAGATGGTAATAAGCTAGATGTAACAAAGAAACAAGGGAGAAAAATGCAAATTTTGCTTGGACTGCTATGTGACAATTTTCTGGCTTTCTTAAAAAACAAAACAAAACAAAACTTTTTATTTTCAAATAACTTTAGATTCATAAGAAGTTACAAAGATAGTACAGAGAGGTCCTGGGTAGTCTTCATCCAGTGTCCCTGACTTACATAACAAGAGTATGTTATCAAAAGCAGGAAGCTGACATTGGTACAAGGTGCACATACAGTTAGTTCTGTATCATCCTAGCACATGTGTGGATTGATGTAACCCAGTACTGCAATCAGGAAACAGAACTGTTCCATCACAAAGATCTTCTCCTGCCATAGCTNATCTTGGCTGTGGGACTCATATTTATTAGAATCTAGGACTCTCCTGATAACGATTTCTAACTTTCCAACACCTTCTTACATCTTCATCTTCTTACGAAAGTCACTGGTTCTCAACTCAGGAAATAAGTTCTTCCTAGGGAGGTTTTGGGAATATGAGAAACATTTTTGGTTGCCCCTGTGGCTGGAGGACACTGCTTGATTACATGTGACTGGGGACAGTTGTGCCACAAGTCTGGCACTGCAACAAATGACCACTTCTTCAAGGTCACTGGACCCCTGTTGAGAAACACTGAGCTAGGTGAATTTAAGTATTTCCATTTTATAGCTGGGAAATAAGAAAACTTAGAGAAATTTGACCCTCTGGGTCCAAAATTGGGAAAATAAGACTGGAAAGATGGTAATAAGCTAGATGTAACAAAGAAACAAGGGAGAAAAATGCAAATTTTGCTTGGACTGCTATGTGACAATTTTCTGGCTTTCTTAAAAAACAAAACAAAACAAAACTTTTTATTTTCAAATAACTTTAGATTCATAAGAAGTTACAAAGATAGTACAGAGAGGTCCTGGGTAGTCTTCATCCAGTGTCCCTGACTTACATAACAAGAGTATGTTATCAAAAGCAGGAAGCTGACATTGGTACAAGGTGCACATACAGTTCTGTATCATCCTAGCACATGTGTGGATTGATGTGACCCAGTACTGCAATCAGGAAACAGAACTGTTCCATCACAAAGATCTTCTCCTGCCATAGCTAGTTCTGTATCATCCTAGCACATGTGTGGATTGATGTAACCCAGTACTGCAATCAGGAAACAGAACTGTTCCATCACAAAGATCTTCTCCTGCCATAGCTAACCCCTGGTAACCACGAACCTGTTCATCATCTCCATACTTTTGTCATTTTGAGAATGTTATATAAATGAAATCAGACAGTACATGACCTTTTGAAATGAGCTGTTCTTCCACATTGCATAATTACCTTGAGATTGATTCAACTTGCTGTATGTATCAATACTCTGTTCACTTGCACTGCTCTGTGGTATTCCATGAAATGGACGTACCCCAGTTTCTGTTTAACCACTCACCTATTGTAGAATATTTTAGTTATTTCCCATTTTTCAGTATTACAAATAAAGTGGCTGTGAACAATTGTGTTGTGGTTTTTGCTCGTACATAAGTTTTCATGTCTTTGGGATCAATATCCAGGTACACAGTTGCTGGAGAGTGTGATAAGTGCATGTTTAGTTTTTTAAGAAACTGCCAGGCTTTTTCATTTCCAAAAGCAATATATGAGAGACCCAGTTTCCCTGCATGCTTGCCTGCGTTTGGTATTGTCACTACTTTTTATTTTAGCTGATCTAGTAGGTGTGTGGTGAGAGCTCATCCTGGTCTTAGCATTTCTCTAATAGCTGGCGGTGGGGAACATTTTGTCATGAGCTTGTTTGTCATCCACATCTCCTCTTCAGTGAAATGTTTCCTCATGTCTTTTGCCCACTTTCTAATTGGATTATTTTCTCATTGTTGAGTTTTGAGTATTTTTCATATATTTTAAATGAGTTCTTTGTCAGATATGTGATTTGCAAATATTTTCTCCCAGTCTCTACCTGTCTTTTCATCTTCTGAATAGATCCTTTCACAGAGGAAAAGTTTTTAATTTTGATGATGTCCAGGATATATGTTTTTTATTATATGGATAGCACTTTTGGTATCATTTCTCAGAATTCTTCAGCAAGCCCTAGGTCCCGAAGGTATTCTTCTATGTTTTCTTCTAAAGTTTTATAGTTTTACATTTTTACTTAAACCTATGATCCATTTTGAGTTAATTTTTGTACAAGATGTGAAGTTTAAGTTCAGGTTTTTTTTTTTTTTTGCGTATGGATGCCCAATTGCTCCAGTACTATTTGTTGAAAAACCTATTTTGCACAATCGTGAGAAATAGTTGGCCATGCTAGTTGGCTATTTCTGGGTTCTTTATTCTGTTCCATTGATGTATGTGACTGGTCACAAATACCACACAGTCTAGATTACTGTAGCTATATTACAAGTCATGCAGTCTGGAAGGGTGATTTTTCTCATTTTATTCTTTTCCACATTTGTTTATTCTATCTTTTGCTTCATCATATAAATTTTAAAATACTCTTGTTAATGTCTATAAAATTCTTCGTGGGATTTCTGTAGGAAGTGCCATTCAACCTGTTTGTCAATATGGGGAAAACTGCCTGACTTACCACATTGAGTCTTTTCTTCTACAATCACAGAGTGTCTATTTTAGATCTTGTTTGATTTCTTTCATCCAGCATTGTGCTGTGTTCAGCATACAAGTCCTGTCCATGTTTTGTTAGATTTCTATGTATGTTTATACATATCTATAAGCCAAACTTTAGTTTATTTGTATATATGTATATTTTATTTTAGTGATTGTAAATGGCATTATATTTTTAATTTTGGAATCCACATGCATATAGAATATACAATGGATTTTTCTATGTCGATCTTGTATACCATGACCTTGCTGAACTTGCTTTTTTTAGTTCTAGGAGATTTTTGTAGATTCCTTGGAGTTTTCTATGTAAACCATCATGACATCTGCAAAGAAGAAGAAATTTATTTCTTCCTTTCCAATCTGTGTGCCTCTTATTTCCTTTTCTAGGCTCACTGAATTGCCTAGAACTTGCAGCACTGCATGAAATTACAGTGGTGGGAGCACACGTTACCTTGTTCCTGATCCAAGGGAAAGGCGTTCAGTCTTTTTCCATTATCTGTGATGCAGTCTGTAGGTTTTTAGTGGATGCTCTTTATCAAGTTTAAGAAGTCCTACTCTCTTCCTAATTTTATGAGGGCTTTTGTCATGATGGGTGTTGAATTTTGTTCATTGTTTTTTCTGCATTAATTGGTATAATCCTGTGACTTTTCTTCTGTAGCCTGCTAATATGGTGGATTACAGTGATTGATTTTTGAATATTTAACCAGCCTCACAGTTCTGCAATAAACACCATTTAGTCATGGTGATGGTGTATAATTCTCTTTATGTATTGCTAAATTCTATTTACTAATATTTTGTGAAGGACTTTTGCTTCTTTATTCATGAGGAATATTGGCCTATAGTTTTCTTTTTTCTTTTTGTGCTGCCTTCATCTGGTTTTGCTATCTTTTTCTGGGTTCTTTTGAATATATATTTATGTGTCATTTATGCTAGCAAAGAACTACTTCAAATATGAAAAAAAAATTGCAATAAAATATTAAACTCAGCCTAAAGATTGGTTTATATAAATAAGTCCTCATTGCTTTTAAATAAATGTTTCAATTTGTAAATATGTAATGGAATTTTTTTCCCACCAAAAGTCATCAAAATTCTATTGAGGTTGTTAGATAACTAAGATTGACTTAGGGAATAAATTATATCAATATATTATAAGAAGAAGTAGACTTTGGACCAAGTAGTTTAATGAAATCTTAGTAATCTAAACGTATCTTCAATAAAAGTGGTCATTTAAGGTCTGTATCTTAGCTATAATACAGACATGTTTTATTTCAGAATTTGCCTTCTTGTCCTTAATCTCAGGATTTCCCAGTGCTGTATGCATCATACAAAATCAATGTTGGTGTTAAGTTGAGATCTTCTGTTGCCATTAATGGAGAGTTATGGTGGATTTATGTTTAAGCTTCATAATATTTTGAATGTTGATGTTATAATGAGTAAGAAATATACATTATGAACACACACACATAAATACATACATATATAGTGTGTGTGTGTAACTTTTCAAAAAACTTACTTCTTGCCTTAAAATAGATTTCATGAGTAATATCCAAGTAGATGCCAGAAACTATCTGTTCCTGCTAAATTTTTTAATCTAGTTTATAATGAAAACTTAAATTTAAGATTTAAATTATATCTGATTGACATAAACAAAAGGTATCTGAAATGATTATTTTTGAGTATTACTGACCAATCTAAAATTTTTATAACTTGTCATTTATACCAGTTATCTTCCTATAGCTAATGAGGGAAAATATATTTTACAACATATTTTGATGAATATTTCTCTATGCAGTTTGTAGAAAAGGAATGGTTTTTCTTGTTTCAACTTTATTCTAACTTCACAGGATTCAAGCAAAAACACGAGAATTTAGGGAACGACAAGCTCGAGAACGTGACTATGCCGAAATCCAAGATTTTCATCGGACATTTGGCTGCGATGATGACTTGATGTATGGGGGAGTTTCTTCCTTTGAAGGGACCATGGCTCTCAACACCAGACCACAGAGCCCAAGAGAAGGGCATTTGATGGATACTTTGTATGCCCAAGTAAAGAAGCCACGGAATTCCAAAGCTTCACCTGTGGACAGGTAGGCCCCGGGAGCAATCGCGGCATTGCTCCCAAATCAACTTTTATGCAGTTTTTGACAAGGGACTAGATTGTTCATCAATCCTCAAAGCAGAACTGCCTCTTATTAATGGCCTTTTAAAAGCTGCTGTGTCTAAAAGTATTGAGTTAACACAAATCAAAACCGAGTGGAAGGAGAAGCAGAGGTTTTGGTAACTTTTCTAATGGTTCTAACATATTTTATCTTGTTCTTAAAACAGTATTAGTTTGTAAACAACCTTTAGTTTACAACTCAAATAAAAAGCAAACTAGCAAACTTGAAGTTATGGCTCTTCTATGTAAGTGAGACTTCCTTTTATTGCTTGGAGAACCTCTAGTTGTGTTAATTAAATGGATGGGAAATGACATGATTTGTTCCAGTTAGGATTTGGAAGGGCCACTTTTTGGGGTGGCATAATTTTATATAAGAAAGAATAAGTAAATGAAAAATATAGTATAGCCAGTCTTCAAATTGAATTTTAATAGCCACAGACCACAGGTCTGAATTATGTGTATCAATGTAGCATACAGTAGTGCAATGTTGACTGTATTTTAATGGTTACATATTTATTTAAAATTTTAACAGACTATGTGGCTATATATTTATTGGTGGGTGTGAATTACTGGCTATATATTTATTTCAAATTTTAACTGAAGCAATTTTTAACAGATCTTTTTGCAGCCTTCCAGTTGTATATTCAAGCACCATATAGAGTTTATTTCAGGGAGAAAATAATACTTACTTCCTTTTATATCAAATATGCAAATATTATTTTCAAAAAAATTTACTAATCCCATCGCATCTTATAATGGTTTCTTATAATTGTTGCTGTATATGGGAGCTGGGCTTTGAACATTATAAACAGCAGGTTTCACTTAAAACCAGTGGTTCTCAAGCTTTAGCGCTTTAGTGCTTTAACTTTAGTATGCATCAGAATCATCTGGAGGTCTTCTTCAAATGCAAATTGATTGACTTTCCTCCAGAATTTTGATTCAGTATGTCTGGTGTAGAGCCCCGAGAATTTGTATTTCTTAAAAATTCTCAGGTTTGATGCTGGTCTTTCTGGTCCTGGGGACTTCACTTTAAGAAGCCCTGTAAGACTAAGGATGTACTAGAATTATTTTATCTACAGCAAGTAGAGCCCCGAGAATTTGTATTTCTTAAAAATTCTCAGGTTTGATGCTGGTCTTTCTGGTCTTGGGGACTTCACTTTAAGAAGCCCTGTAAGACTAAGGATGTACTAGAATTATTTTATCTACAGCAGTGTTATTTGGTTGCTACATTTTGCAAGTGAGTCTATATGTTAGTTACTTCCAGCTATTTTAATAAAGGTTTGCAAATGCATCAGGTAACCCTTAGTCGAACCCAGAAGGAAGCATTTTTAAAAATAGCAGATGGAGAAGCAGATCTTACAGTGAAAGTCTCATCGGATTATTGTTCTGTTGTTTCCTTTTTCATTTTTGTTGGGTTGTAGGTTTTCTTTATTGTCTCATGAAAATCTATTTGATGTTGAATGTAATAAATAAATAATATAAGTTAATATAGGAGGCTTATGGTTTATTTATTTAATGTAGGAGGCTCTGGTGTGATCACCTAGAAGGTTCACATGCTTATTAACTAGCACAGATATGTCAGAATTCAGAGGATAAAGTTATTATCAGTGACAGTGACATTTTCTTTAAGAGCTTCTTACTTGGTTTCTGCCATACTTGTGAAAGCTGCTTGTAGAAGGTCAAACAGCGTTTGAAGGTCATGAATGTCCCATTGAAAGTGTATTATTGGGAGAAAAGACACCAGAAACACTGGCATTGCCTGTTAGTAACTTTTGGAGGAACTTAAAAAAAAAAGAAGTTGACATATTATTGATCATTGATAAAAGCACTCATTACTTTCAGCACCTTCCAAATCTAGTTCGAAAATCTAAAAAATAGTAGATGTACTCATAGCAGTTACTCACATAACTCAGAAGTCCCACCTGACAGAGCCTGGAGTCAGATGGGATCTCTCTAAGTTCCTGAAGTCCTGAAACGGTTGCTTTAAACCCCAATTTAAACATCAGGGTCCAGAAGAGTCTAAACCTTACCTGAAGATTTCTGCAAATTGTCAGAAGGGTTTCTGTGCTCAGAACCCCTCTGCTTCTGGGCCGTAGCCTCACTGCCCACAGTCTCTGCTCTGCACCATCCTAAACCCAAACTGAAATGCAGCCTCCAAATTTCCATCAAAAAACCCATTCAGCTAAACAGTTTGGGGAAGACTTTAGTCATGGGGACAAGTCACACCAAGCAGTAAGTAACTTAGAATCACATGTTAGACACTGCTGTATTCAAAGCTCCTCTCAGCCTTATCCAAGCACAGCCTAGACAGCTGTCAGATATTACAGTTTTATGTATTTGCACCCCAAAAGGGTGACTGGACTAAAGGATTTCTAAGGCCTTTCCATCTCAAGAGAGATATAATTAATTTTTTTAAAAAAGCAATCACAGAAACTTTAGTTTTTTGTAAATTATCAATTTTGCAGAGAATAAGATATTCATTAAACAATAACTGATGTTACTAGTACAGAAAGGTGGGAATTACTGCACCTGTAAAGTACTTCTTCTCTACCTATAATTGAACTTGAATTTGGTTTGGAAATAATGGCATCACCTCCATTGTCTTTTGCCGTCAGAGAGAAAGCTATAGAAAAGTGTTTCTTAGATTTGAGTCGTGTAGAGATTCTTTTTTAAAGGAAAGACCATCTCTTGATACTGCAGTATTGAATTAAATTGTTTTGATTATAATGTTACTTAAATATGTATAAAAATAAAATAGGACTAAACCCCTTCTGTTTATAACCGTTATACAACTATAAAACCAAACATCTTTACAAATTAAATACAAACAAAATGGCAAAGCCATTGCATTCAAATGAACAGCATTAATTTAATGTGGCCAGTAATGTTTTTTTAAATCTAAACTCTTGCACAAATCATGAATATGGTGGTGACTGCTACATGGCAGGCTCGTTTGAGTTTGCCTGCCCCCACGAGCCGAGTGCTGGCTCAGTTCACCCATCACTTTTCTTGGTTAAATTTCTGCAGGTTTTTGCACATGCACGTCCCACAACCTTTGGCCTTTGTTTCACATAGACGCATCATTATGCAGGAAGTCCAATTTGCTCTGTTACCATTAAGTTAAGGCAGTAAAAGTGGCATTTCTTGGTACTTTCATATTTGTAAACTTAAATCCAGAGCGTGAAATAAAATGCCTATAAAATGATCTAGCATATGCTTGTATTAACTTTTTAAAATGTAATCACTCAAATGGACACACAAAACTTGAAACTCCTCAGAAAGTATTTCTTGGACGAAGAATATACACAATAAAGAAACTCCTGTCAATTGACTAAATTACACCAAAATTTGCAACTGGTGTTTCATGAATTTTACTCTTCAAATCTTTGGGTTTCATGGGAGCATAGCCTGCATCTGCTCTAGGATTTTCCTTGTTCAGTCAGAAAGCAGTATTCTAAATTTCATTGCTTAATCATTTTTGATTGACCTTACGGTTGGTAATATGGATTTGGTAGCCCCCATGGTAGCAGCCAGGGATAATTTATTAACTGTTGTGAATTTGATGTTAAAATGGAGATACTTTCTCAATTTCCATATATTATTTATAAATGCTTATTTATAGGATAGCACCATACCATATCTAGAAATATTTACATGCCTGTTTAATTTTATTGCACATGAACTGTTATCTGACTATATGCTTTGGTTACAGGGCCGTTGTTTCTACTATTTATTAGCGTACTTGATAACTTTTTGATTTTTCTTGTTGGATCGATGTTAAAGAGAAACAGACCTATCCTTGTGTTTTATATGAATAGCAAGGCTTAAACTCACAAAAATATTGGTGTACTTGTTTTTATCCTGCTTATAAGCTAGATACTTCAAAGATTTAGCTCTTATGATTCAAAATCCTATATTTCTCTGGCAAGAATGCAGTTCCAGTTTGGTTGCTCCGTCTCAGCTGGGTAGAATAGAGTATGATGCAGCGCTCTCTGTTTCCATATTTCTCTCCCACTGTGGAAGAAACTGCTAATTGTCTTTTTAACTTTGTTCAGGCTAGCGTGTGCCTAGCTGAAAATTTAAATTTCCCAGATACACTTGTAGTAAGAGGTGACCACATGGCATAGTTCTGTCTAGTGAGTTAGAAGTAGATCTACAGATGGGACTTCCTGCAAAGTTAGTTTTTTCCTGATTAAAATGGGACTGACTCAGCTTCTGTCCTTTGCTATTTGTCTTTCTCTCTGCCTGGAACTTGGGTGGGTTCTCCAAGTAGAGCTTTCCTAATACCCCTGAAGATCATGACCACATAGAGGAAGAGGGAAGCAAGTGGTCCCTTGAGCAGCTGGTCCAGTCCCAGCATACCCATCCTGGACCCCTTACTACCCGTGAAAAGTGAGCCTGTTACTTGGTTAAGTTCCTTACCATCAGGCTTCTGTTTCGTGAAGCCAAACACCGTTCTGAATGTAATGAATTGTGTACAGAAGAGACCAGAGGGAATCATTGTCTTTTGCTCAAGATTGTCAGTATGTTGGAGAACTGTCCCTTGGTCAAATGATTTGCACAATATTTTGTGAAAGTAACGGGCAAAATTCTCCAGTGTTGTTCAGTGAGTTCTTCTGCTTCTCATTTTGTTAAGCCTCTACTTAAAGAAATGTTACCAATCAAATATCTGCTAGCATAATTTCTTCTTAACTCTTTAAGACACCTCTGTTCCCTGACAACTCTCACCTCCACCAACAGTCCTTCTCTAAGGTTGAGTGTAATGTGCAAGAGCATGAACTATGGAGTCAGACTGCCTGAGTTTGGCCCTGGGCTCTTTGCCATCAGCTATGCAACGTCTGTGCTTCATTATCCTCATCTGTAAAATGGGGATAACACTTACCTCATCAGGCTTGGGTAGGATTAACTCTGTTAATAACATATAATAGT